GTGCAATAAATTCTTATAGTCTTGAAGTTAATGGAATTAACAAGAGAAAGGTAACTTCCTCCCCAACATATAAAGATTAGTTCCCTTTTATAAATTTATATTCTGATGTAAATATGTTATAGTACTGTTATTTGTACATTTTAAAGTGCATCGTCTAATCCCTGCTTACAGCACCCACACTCCATAACACCTTACCTTCACTGGATGCCTCAAGCTCTTTCTTGCCTTAGCACCAACACTTCTTCTCTCCCCTCCCCACCCATCTACTAATCCTTCAGGTCTTAACTCTATTATCAATTCTTTAGGAAAGTTTTCTCTGACTCTCATACTAGATAAGATCTACTTGGCCTCTTTCAGAAGATAAGTCAGAGAACTCCTACACTACATGAGATCTACCTGACTTTCTCTTTTCTCCTCTTCTGAAAAGAATCACCTCTACAAGGGTGATTAAATAATCACTTGGGTAAATGGGTACTGGTTGCTGGTATCTTCCCTCTTCCCCCCAGATTATAAGCTCCTAAGCTCCACAAGGACAAGGACTGTGCATGTTTTTATTATTTTCCACTCTTAGATCCATAGCAATAGCCAACACATAGAATATAGTCTCTAAATATGAAGTAGAAGAATAATTAAATATTCATAACATGTAGCTAACAGAACAGTGCATTACTTCAATTCTTGCTTCTGCTACTGTTTGCAGTGTTACTGTGAACAAACTGCTTAACCTCTCTGAGGCTTATTTCTCTCACCTAAAATGTGGATAAGCCCTACCTACCTCATATAGCCATTATGAGACAAACTAGATAATTTATGCCAAATTAAAACAATATACAACATAATTAATATTGATTAATTGAGTAATTAATTAGTTGGGACAGTCTCACTCTGTTGCCCAGGCTGGAGTGCAGTGGCATCATCATGGTTCACTGCAGCCTCGATCTCCTGTTCGCAAGTGATCCTCCCACCTCAGCCTTCCCAGTAGCTAGAACTATAGATGTGGACCACCACACCTGGCCTAATTTTTGTATTTTTTGTAGAGACAAGGTTTCACCATGTTGCCCAGGCTGGTATCAAACTCGTAGGCTCAAGAAATCCACTTGCCTTGACCTCCCAAAATGTTGGGATTACAGGCATGAGCCACCATACTTGACCAATATTGATTAATGTATGAGATAAATATCCAACGTGTGAAGTGGAAAACATCTTCTAGGAATATTTTAAACATCATCTTGTGGCTGCAAAATTCCTGCAAACTTCTGTTTTTCTGAGGGGTATATCAAGTTGGCAATAACTGGAATGGTAACTATAAGGGATGCTAATCCTAGCAATACTTTTCTTTTCTTTTTTTTTTTTTTTTAGACGGAGTCTCACTCTGTCACCAGACTGGAGTGCAGTGGTGGGATCTCGTCTCACTGCAACCTCCGCCTCCCAGGTTCAAGTGATTCAAGTGATTCTCCTGCCTCATCCTCCCGAGTAGCTGGGATTATAGGTGCCTGCCACCATGCCTGGCTAATTTTTTGTATTTTTAGTAGAGACAGAGTTTCACCATTTTGGCCAGGCTCGTCTTGAACTCCTGACAGGTCATCCACCCTCCTCGGCCTCCCAAAGTGCTGGGATTACAAGCGTGAGCCACCGCGCCTGGCCACAATACTTTTCTGTGGCTTTCCTCATCCATGTCCCTGCTCCATTTGCTGGGACAAGTCACCATGTGTTATGGTAACATCACAGTTATTCCCAGGAGCAGAGGCTTCTTCCCGTCCCAAAACCTAGGACCCAAGCTATTTATAATAAAATTCCTTGCCGGGTGCATGATAATAAAAGCACCTGTAGATATAGCTGCAAAACATTCAGCTAGCCAAGCACATAGAGCCAAGTGTATGTCTTCCCAGCCCTGCCCAGATCCATCCACGTACTCTACGTTACTTGTTCTTGACTTGCCACCTGATATCTGGTTTTGGTTCTCTGCCTTACCTGACACACTTCGGCTCACTCCCCACCAGCTCCCTGCCTCAGACTCAGCTCTCTTGATTGTTTCCCAGGCAAACTCATCTGCCTGACTTTAAAGCCTGATTTTCCCTTCTAGGAAATGCCTCTTCATGTCTCAGCTCCCCCATATACTCTTGCTACTTTCCTGTGACTACATCTCTACCTCAAGTTTTGGATTAACCTTCTCCCAATCAGAAAAGGTTTATCTGCATCTCAGGAGATTCTGCATGAACCACTGCTGTGCCAACCCTCTCCTTATGACCATCTAGCTCTCATAAAGAGTTCTGCTCTGCTCCTTTGTTACAAATCTATTACTGAGATTCCTTGGTGGTGCTGTTTACCTGCTCACTATCTTCATAACCTATTTATTGTTCCTATATTGTAACCTTGAGGTCAAGTTCCATGATCCCACTTACCTATGATCACTTGTCCTGAAATTGAGTCCTGATAGGTTTTCCAGATGCTGCCTTTTATGTCTGCCTGAACCCAGCATGTTTCCAACTTCCAAATTCCTTTTTTATTGTGCTCTGTCCACACTTAATCAGGATGTTGCACAAGACTTTCAGATGATCTGCATCAGATTGCAACATCTCCATTCTGTCCCATGGACTATAGCTAAAATAATCATTCCGCTAAACCATGCGCTCTCTCAATCTGCCTGCTGGGGGCAGACTCTCGCAACTCATCACTCTCAAGGTGCGGGTCTCTGACTCTAGCCTAGGTAATAGGTTGTTGCAAAAGTAATTGCTGTTTTTGCCATTGCTTTGAATGCTTTTGCAACAACCTAATAACAAAAAGAGAAAGAAGTTGCAGTAAGCCGAGATCATGCCACTACCCTCCGACCTGGGTGACAGAGTGAGACACCATCTTAAAAAAAAAAAAGAGAGAGAGAGACAGAGAGAGAGAAAGAAAAGAAGTTAGAAAGTTCTTCCTGCACGTTGTGCACATGTACCCTAGAACTTAAAGTATAATAAAAATAAAAAATAAAAATAAAATAAAAAAATAAATAAATAATAAAAAGCAAACAAACAATAAACCTCTCTTCCTCTTTACTTTGCTTCTTTCTACAAGGCACTTACTCCCTTATTGTCCCCCCGAAGACCACTTCATCTCATGTAATGAGCACCCCATTCCCAAGATGGCTCCCCAGCATCTAAAAACCGAGCAAGAACTAGGATGGGGCCAAATGGAGGAAGACCATGAAGCAATAAACTCTTTCAAGATTCACAGATAGTAAGAAAGGCCAGAAAGGGATTGGGGCACAATTTTTTCCTAGTGGGACAAAAAGATTATATATTTGTGTAAGAAGTATTCCTCTGCGCCTGTAATCTCTGCACTTTGGGAGACCGAGGCGGGTGGATCCCGAGGTCAGGAGATCGAGACCATCCTGGCTAATTTGGTGAAACCCCGTCTCTACTAAAAATACAAAAAAAAAAAAATTAGCAGGTGTGGTGGCGGGTGCCTGTAGTCCCAGTTACTCGGGAGGCTGAGGCATGAGAATGGCATGAACCTGGGAGGCAGAGCTTGCAGTGAGCCGAGATCTGGTCATTGCACTCCAGCGTGGGCAACAGAGTATTCCTTTGCATATGGGATACTATTCTAGGGATTGGTGGGAATTTGTAATTAGTTGACCTAAAATTTTCTCTTTACATTTCTTTCAGAGAGACACCTTGTTCTCCATGTGCATAACTTGCTTGCAACCATGACTATATTCAGTTCCCAACCAGCAGAGCTGGACAATCACCTCCCCACCTATGCAGGTGCATGGGGGATTGCTACATATTCATAACAGCCTGTTCTCTAATCCCTGAGAAGAGATGGGTATGCAGGATCAATAACATGATTTTATCAGTATTATATTAAAGAACTGTATTCTCCAAATCGAATTTGAAACATTAAAATCTGCAGATTATTCTCATTTGAGTTTTAATTTTAGCAGTGTCACATTTATCCTCCAGGGCATATTTCTTTTTACAGTGGTTTCCTTCAAAGGCAATTAATAGCAACATCAATTCAATCAAAGTAAATATATTTGTTTGAACTTAGACTGTTAAATATTCCCTAGTCTATTAATTTACGTGTCTGTTAGAGTTGGATGCCCACAAAGAATGAAGGCAATTTTGAGCCTTTTCACAAAATGGAAAGTTCAAAGCTTAATAACCTTGAAAGGAAATGTCTTCATTGCTAAAAAATTGAACGCATACAAAAAGAATAAATGCGGCTCAGAAATGCTTCCAATGCCTCACTTCAGAATATTAGCTTGTTATTTAGAACAGTCCCCGAGACTGTGGGAAAGCCAAGAGAAGGTCTGAGAGACACAGTGAGCTGTGAAGCAGTGAGCCTGCCAGGCATGAGACAGACAAGCCTGAGAGACAAACACCATGGCCATGGCCGGGCCCTGGGACCCTGGAACAAGCAAGCCAGCACCCACAGTCACAACAAGTGCAACTGATGGCTTTGATGTGTGTTATATACAGAACCTGCCAAGTGTGGTTAAAACAAACACTTGTAGGTAAGAAATATGCAGTCTCTGATCAAATGAAAAGCTCTGTTTTCCTGGGTGCCAGCTTTAGATGATACATGTTTAGATTTCTTGATATTCAGGTTCAGGTTTTGAAATTTGTCCTGAGCTTTGGGACACAGGCACTTTGAAGAGAAAACAATGGAAGCTTACAAAGTGTCCAGGATAGACTGTTTGAGACACACTTGTTGTTATTATTTAAAGATCCACCTCACACTTAATTTTGAAGAAAAATATAGCATGTACCCTAGCTCAGAATTTGGGACGTGGTATGTGTCAAGTACTTCTGTCATGATGCAATGAATTCATGAAAGAAAGAGGGTGAGAGATCAAGAAAGTGAGGGAGGAACAGAGAAAAGAGAAAGAAGTGGGGAAAACAAAGAAAAGGAATAAGAAAAATAAAGAAGAGAAGAAGATGAAGGGAAAATAGGAGAGTAGGCTCTGAGGGTCCCAGCCAGTGATGCTGGTGTTATACTTAAGGCATTGAACTGACCGTAATATTTTCCTGGGCTTCGGTCTTTCTTTACACCTAGAAATGATTCAAATGTCTCAGTTACTCTCTCAGTTGATTGTCCAATATAGTTTTGCTAAGGAGTGCAGCTGATCCAGGAAAACCTGAAAGAAGGTAAGAAAGAGGTAGTTTCTGCTTCCACGGAGACAATCCATTTCAAATACAAGAAACCAGGGAATTTTTTTTCAAATAACATTAACAACAGTTATTTGTTGATGCTACTTAGATATTTCACCTATATATCTTCACTGTGCTTTCTCTTCCCAAAATATTACCCCCACTCACACAGTCTTGCACATCTTTGAGGTGCAAACACGGACTTTCAAGCCCTTCAGGCCCCCAGGACATTCTCAGCTGCTTTCTCAAAATGCTTTACAGGTGCCTCTCAGTCCTTCCTTTGTTGTCTTATTAATTTCTCTATTTTAATTATTTTATTCATTTGTGCACTTGCTTTTAACTTTGAATTTCTTTCAAAACTAGCATATAGTTTTTTAATAGCGGTCATGAGTTGTTAACTGAATGGGTGAAATAATGGTGAACAAGTGCCTTGACTGGATTAAATATTTTTTGGATATGGCCACATTTGGATCTAGACCAACAACTGACATCAGGATCCCAGAAATAAACTGCAAACCCAGAGCCAGCTCTCTCAGGGGGCAGGACTGCCTCTCTGGCTGACTGTGAACTTCCTTGTCCCACATGGGGATCCCCTCTTTACCTCTGCAATTGATCTTGGAAGGTCATCATGAAGTCTGGCCTCAAACTCTGATTTTCCCCTGCCCTCTATCATGTCTCTGCTTAAAATCCTCTTTGTTTCCTGTTAGAGAAAAGAATAAATTCTGAGTTCCTACGATGACATGTAAGCCCTTTGCAAACTGGCCTCAGCTTCTATTTCAAGGGACACCTCCTCTCTAACCCCCTTCCTTCAGCCTTGTCCTGTGACTCAGACTTACCTATCATTCTTGGAATGTTCTCTTTCATACCCCCAGCTTGTTTCTTTTTTCTCTATGCCCCAAATGTACAGCGAAACAACTAGACTGAAGTCCAAATTGCGTCATCAATGATTTCATTTCTCTTTTTAAAAACTTTCCCTGGCATCCCATTGTCTATGGGAGCTGTGGAAACTGACATATTAGCTGACCTGACATACCGGGCCAGGTCTTGCTGGTATTTGTAGCTCTAAACAAGCCTCTCCCCTATTCTGGTGCACCAGGATTCTCCCATCGTGCCTGCATGATTCTCTTATGATTCTGATCTGATCTCATCCCACACACAAGAGAGCTCCTCAGGTCTGCCTGAGGCCTGGCTGGTGGCTATTCCCTTGTATCTTACCAACCCCCTTCTCAAAGCCTTGCCGACAACCTTGCTTGGGTCTCAGCAGTCATTGTCCATGGCCTGAGGACTACGTCAATGTCAGAAGTGAGATACGGAAGTGGTTTTAGTGGCTGTTTCATAAGAAACCTATGGTAGAGCCAACATCAGAGACCAGCCTACAAAATGAGAGTCCTATACAATTTGTAGAACCCTGCAAAATGACATTAAATAATCCAAATGCTCATTAGTGTGTAGACCTTAGTCACCAGAACCCCTCCCTGTACCGTTTTAAAACAGGCAAACAAGTATAACCTACTTTGGGATTTCTCACTTCATTTATTAAACAAATGATATCACTCTAAGTGTCTATTGTACAGTAGGTAGCAAATATTCTGAAATGAATAAAACACATCCCCGCATTTAAATCTCCTTCTGTTTGGTAGGAGAGAAAGAGACACATCAATTATTTACAGAAACACCTACAGATACATGAAAAATGCTGCAAGAATTCAGAAAGAGCAGTAGTTATTTAAGAGGTACTGGAGGATGAAGGCATCAAAATAAAGTAAAAGATGCTTGGGTACAGATATGTAGCAGTTACTGGATCTTAAAGGATGCATTGAAGTTCTAGATGTAGACAGGAGGAAATAAAGCACTCCAGGGAAAGAGAAGATTCTGGGCAAAGGCTTGGATGCACATTCTGGGAATTACCAATAGTTTGATGTGCCTGGAACATCTGACACATGAGGAGAACATGAGTGAGAATCTGTAGATGAGGGTTTCCATATATACGGCATGTTGCCACTCTAAGGATTTTCCATTTTATTCTGAAAATTATGAGGGATGCAGGGAATTGTAGAATACTGAATGACATCTTAATATTTCAATTTTGAAAGTTTGTTTTGGCAACAGAACGGAGGGTTGGAGAAGGGTTATTCAAGTTAAAATATTATAAGGATTGGAGGAAGATGACACCCACCTAGGAGAGCTTGCCCCCAAATTAAACAAAAATTGAAGAGTCTGGGCTTGGAAGAGAAAAGTACATGCTTCAGGTACCTTCATCCACATTCAACAATAAGAAAGCAAGGATGAGTCACTGGACATTTTAGGAGAGCTAGTGCCACATTAGATGGATACCAAATTTCCCAGACAAAAGAACTAACAGATGGGTTGGTTTGCTAAGAAGGCAAAGTGGAAAAAAGTAACTTTAAATGTGCTCAGAGAGGAGAGAATGGTGTGAAGTAAGACTCAGAGTTGTTATTTTAATTAAAATGCACCAAACCACACAATCAATGAGATTGTAAGAAGGTTGAGAAGACTCCCACAGATAGAACCAAAAAAGGTCAAGAGATGGAAGATTTAAAAGAAAAGCTAAAAAACACCTAGAATGAAACTATTAATAGAAGTTCCAACATCATCTGTTATTTTCCTGATCTTGACCATTGTATGTGGTTGTATAAGAGAATATCCTGTTCTTATACAATATCACTGCATACCATATGGATAAACGCAGCATGCTTTCAATTTATTCTCAAATAGATTCAAAAAAATTACAACATGTATATACAAAAAGGGAAAAGCCAATGTGGAAAAGATTACAATTGAGGAATCTGGGTGAAGGTTATATTGGAGCTCTTTATATCATTCTTACAACACTGTAAATGTTGTGTGTAAAATTATTTCTAAATTTAAAAATTATGAAAAATTACATAAAATAAACATACAGTTGGTCACCTCTTCATTGCCCACATTGCAACAACTAGGATTCAGCCACATTAACTCTTAAAGGGATCATTACAGCAAATCATTTTTTACTCCTATCTCCCCTATTCCCAACTCAGCAACCTAAGTAATCTTTCAGAATGTAAGTTAGAAGATGTCATTCTTCTTATCTCAATCCTCCAATGGCTTCTCACCTTTCTCAGAGTCAAATCAAGATTTGGAAATGGTGTGGAAGACTTTACAGAATGCGATCCCTCCTCCCCGTTCTCTGTCTTTGGTCTCACTTCCTACAGCCAAAATGCAGTGAAATACCTTTTAAACCTACAATGCTCATGATCATACCAAATTAAAACACCCATTGGTTTCCACAAGGTGGAAGTGAGGGAAATAAAAGAGAGAAATTGTATGTGAATATCTTAATAGTTTTTGGTGGGGAAGAGGTTAAAGGTACTGTTTAAGTGTAGAGAAACAAACAAACAAAAAAATGAATGTAACTTCTTCTTCTTTTTGTTTTTGAGACGGAGTCTCACTCTGTCGCCCAGGCTGGAGTGCAGTGGCTGGATCTCAGCTCACTGCAAGCTCCGCCTCCCGAGTTTACGCCATTCTCCTGCCTCAGCCTCCCGAGTAGCTGGGACTACAGGCGCCCGCGGCCTCGCCCAGCTAGTTTTTTGTATTTTTTTTTTTTTAGTAGAGACGGGGTTTCACCGTATTAGCCAGGATGGTCTCGATATCCTGACCTCGTGATCTGCCCGCCTCGGCCTCCCAAAGTGCTGGGATTACAGGCTTGAGCCACCGCACCAGGCCGAATGTAACTTCTTGACGAAAACTTAAGAGCAATCAATTAGTGAACCAAAGTTACATGTATGGCTTGCAAATTATGAGAAGGAAAAACAGAGCACAGCAATAGCAGTAACAGAGGCAGGAAGGAAAAAAAAAAAGCAAACATGGTAAATAAACATATTTTAAGATAAAAGAATGAAAAGTCCAGACATCCGAATTCACACAATTTATAATTTGTTCCTTCTTCCACCTACAAAAATGAGAAATTTTGTCTATCACTGTGACTGTACTAAAAACCACTGAATTGTGGTTCACCAGCCATAAAGTTGTCCTTTGAAAAAAATGACTTTTATAGTTGGCGAATTATATTTCAGTAAAGCCATTGTGCAAAAAAAGAGAGAAAGAAATTGCATCTGAGCTGAGCCTTGGTGATGAGGGAGGAGCGGGAGAAATATTGACAGAGAATCAATGCTGCCGGTGACTTCCTTCATTTATTCATATCGAGGGCAGAGTAGGAAGCTCCCCTGGTTAGAGGCCTAGGTGGATGCCGTGCCAGGAACCACGAGCTCTGGGTGCCTCACCCTGCTCAAGATCGCAGGCCTAGTCCCTCTGATGTGACTGCTCATTCCTCCTGGCTCTCCACTCCATCCCTGGCTTCACTTCTTTCTGCTGCACATTGGACAGATGGGACTGCAGATTCAGCTTCTTGATTCTCGACCACTCATTACAAGGAACCAGCCCTACCCAAGCCATGTGCTTCATAGCACTGATCACTGTCATCTCACTTTTTCTTTGTTATTCTCTTTATTCATCCCTACTTCCAAGAAGAAAAGATCCATGAGAGTGGCCATGAGGTCTCCATCTCCAGGACAGAAGGAACCCTTGGACCAGGAATCAGAAGACAAAATCACGAATTCTTAGTGTCAGAGTGAAACCTAGAGATGATAGCATCCAGTGCACTCATTAAACTGAGGAAGACATCGAGGCCCACACAGGGACCTTCAAAAGCTAGCAAGGCTTGTCACTGGCTAAATTCCAGGTTCTGTGTCTCAGTCTGGGACTATTCCCGTGACACAGCACTACTACAAGGCAGACTCCAGAGGCCCAGTGAGACAGATGGCAGCTTCTAATCAACAGAACTATGCTTTAAGTCCAGCCCCATAGGCCCCACCTCAAGGACACCAGTTGGGAGCCAGGATGGATGTCCGGCCCCAGCTAGAAGAGGCATCACAGGTTGTTCTGAGAAAAGGTTGTCAGCAGACAAATGGCTTCCCTGCCTTTGAGCTCTCCTTAGAACGAATTATAGTTTGTTGTGTTTGCAGAAAACAAATGGGAGCAGTCACTTTAATCACTCACTCAGGGAAACTCAAGCAGCAGTTCATCCAAAATATATTGAAAAAAGATTCTGGGATGGCAGCTCCCACATTAAGGACCAGCTCAGTATAGCTAAAAAACCAAAACCAAAAAATCTGTCTGAAAATATCTGAAGCAGTGTGGGAAACAACAAAAGAGAAATATCCACTCTAAAGAAATCCACTGGAGAAGATTATAGGCCTAAGTAAAATATGAAAATTGCCCCCTGCTTTGTCCATATTCAAACTCTTCTCACAGTCCTCCTCCTCTTTACGTCCTATTTCTGAAGTTTGAAAGGACTCTCTCGGGTTTTCTATGGTTTGTTTAATAGCAAAAAAAAAAAAAAAAAAAAAAAAACATTTTTTAGGCAGTTTCAAGTAAAATTAGATGTGCAGCCTCACTCATCAAAGACATCATTTTCCACCAAAGAACAGGCTTCTAGATTTGAGCTATCCATTCTCTCCTCACTTGAGGAGTTCACCATTGCTGCTGACTCTCTAACAGGTGAGGATGCAAGTTCTGGTTACCTACAAGGGAAGTGGGAACTGAAACTCAGAGGCTTTGTGTCTGTGTAGAGTGAACCACACTGCTCCGCAAGGCACTCAGGCTGCCCCTGCTGCCACCCGTGTTCTCCAAAATAAGGAACTG